CTGCCCAATTGAATCAGGAACTGAAGCTTCGCAAAGCCCTACCTGGCAGCCATGCTGACTGACTCCTCTGCTGCCACGTGGAAGGGGAAGGCCCAAGAATCTGTGCCCTGCCTGTAGAGCTGGTGGGGGCGGGGGGGCATGTGCCACCAACAGAGCCCACGTGGCAGGGGGGCTGTATGCTGCTGGCATAACCCACCCAGAGGTGGGCCAGAGGCTGTGTGCCACCAGTGCAGCCCACATGTTGTACCCCCAGTGGCACATACCCAAGTTGAACAGTCCTGCCTTACACTATAAAACTCTCTTTTCAGTTGCTTATAACATTACCAAATTCCAGCCCTTCAGACAGAAATTTTCCATGTGGAGTCTTTTCCTCAGGCTTTTTTTTTTTTTTTAATTTCAGCCAATATGGTTCAGCTGTTTTCAAGAAAGAGGCTTGGGAACAAATATGTTGTTTTTCCCATGTTAAAATATTCTGCTGACATTTGCTTTGAAAAGCAGTAGCATCCTCATGCTTTGAAGCAGGGATTTCAAATTTAGCAAGCAACTGCCCTTTATGTCAAGGATGTCTCCTACAACTTCCCCATGAAAACCTACCCAAAACGGATCATGTTAAAAGCCTTTGAAAAAAATAACAGCTTGCATATGTTCATTAGAAACATCTTTCATTTCAGCAGTTAAATTCTTTTAGAAGATTATACAAACACTGAACATACTCCAGCCTGGGAGTATGGTGTATGTATATTCTCGTTAAGTACAACTCTGCATTCCTTGAGTTGGGGCTGACCACTGATCTGAGAACAGAGCACCTGCTTCTCCTGTGACCCCAATGACATCTTCTGTAGGGTGCGGGGCAGGGGGTCACTTGATCTGAATAAAAAGGGGGTAACTGCCCTACCAGGGTGCAAGTGTGCTAGTGGGAGTAGACTGGAACACGGATCCTCTGAAGAAGGGGCAGTGCCTGGGTCTGAAGAGACAAGGGAGAAACTGGTATTAGGAGTTGAGTGAGACTGGCGTAGAACCCAGAAGTGGTCTGGAAGTACTTTCAGTCTACTTCCGGGTCCACCAGGGAGCATTCAGGGGGGCCTTCTTGTGCCCCCAGGACTCAGCGATCATCCATGGGGGAACCAGTCACTGGTGGCACCAGTCACTGAGCTGGGGGACTAGGAACCAGTGAGATTAAGGAAAGAAGAGAGGGTAGTGATGATAGTAGGGTTATGCAAAACAGCACTGTTTTGTTTCGAGTTCAATTTCACTGTTTCCTTAGAGGAGCATAGTGAACAAGGCAACATACCGCTGGAGGAGTAAGGCAGAAACAGCGTAAAGCAAGAAAATTAAGCCTAGGAGAATTAGGTTCTATCCCTGCTGTGTCCCACAGTTCTATGCAACGCTGGGTAAGGGAATTAAATCAAACTTTCCTTAAGACATAACCAATTCTGTATTCTTCATACTCTGGATACCCAACTTGAGGCTCTAGGATCTCATTTCTAGAAGTGCTAAGCTACAAATGGAATGATGTGTTTGAACATATAGACCATGTCCCCATAAGTGGGAACATGTGTTTTTCCGGGAACAGGTAGTAGCAGCACAACTTGTGCCACTGCTACTTGTGCCTGGGAAATGCCTGTGCCATGCACGCTCTGGCATGCAGCAGGTTACCCTGGGTGAGGTGGGGTAGGGTAGGCTGGGGCTAGCAACTGTGCTGGCCCCACCTTCCTTACCTGAGGTCCTGGGGGCCTCAGGGAGCTGCAGCCATGGTGCTTCTGCAGGACGGAGCCTGGCTGGCAGCTAGAGCATGGCTCCAGCCAACCAGGCCCCAGTTTTGGGCAGCGTGCGCTGCCACCACGTGCACCACCCCGCGGAGTTTTTTTGGCGTGGCTTTTTTACCCTGGGATCTCCCAGGGTCAAGAAAACACCCCGTACTACAACGTAGTAGCATGAGAAACGCTTGCATATGTGGTGTGTGGTGCTGCAGACAGGTCTGCGGCACCACATACCACACATGCACACTCACCTGGATATGGCCATACAGTGCTTTATAATGCTGTATAACATCGCTCAATAAATGATCACTGTATATTCTGTTCAGGGAATGAGGCAAAAATTCTTCAAGAATCATAGTATGTGATCAACTAATTAAAGAGTGCATTATGCCTACGCACAAAAAGGCTGAATCAAAGTTTTACAAGCAGTCCCAACTTGGGCATTTCCTACCTGCTGAGTGCTGAACTCTGCAACCTTAATAGTGCTCTTTAAACATGGCTTCTTCCTGTGTACACAGTGTGCATGTTGCTTTTATGTGCATACGAATGGCTTTTTTATTACAAACTATTTATGTTATATACTAGCAAGTGCAATTACATTGATTATCTGATCACATAAATTAAGTAGTAAAGATAATTTCATCTATCATCAGCATGGCTTTATTTCTGGCATCACATTAAATAGTTAAATTTTAAAAAGATTAAAATCAAAAGCCTTTTAGAATTCAAGACGGAGCTTAAACTGCAATAAAGATCTTCTTAATTAGGATCAAAATCAGTCTGCCAGTATTTTATGTATTCTTTCTGGGTAGTGTTGTATTTTGCCTAGGTAAAAAAATAAAAAATAAAATCATCAAATGTGATGCTACTGAGGCAGAAATAGCACAAGACAAGGATATCACCTGTGACTTACTGTACTAGATGCTGATGGAATAGCCTTTAATCTTTAGCTTTTGAAATCCAATCAGACAACCCCAAACTTTTAAATATCTTTTAATTATACACTCCCATTCCTAATACACAATACAAATTACTGCTAGCAGGAAAATCTCACAAAAACTCTGTTTTTTATGGCTATTGCAAGAAATTTCAATTAGTACATCTCACTGTAGTAAATAAGCATCACAAGAAGGTTATTGTGATTTTGACCATCTGGGGTTATGGATCTTAGAAAACCTTTTTAGGAAAAAAGCCAAGACATCCTCAGGCAAATCCCATTCTAGACTCCACAGTTACGGAGACTCTCACCTACGGGAGATTTGGCAGGGTTGTGCAGGCTTGTATCCTCAACAGGAAAGAGATAACAGCTTGGTGCAGAGATGATGCATGGCAGCATGTATGGAGCAAGTATTGTTGGGGACAGGGTAGATTAGGGAACCAGCACCTGCAAATATCTTTTCATGCTTCTACCAATGCTTTTACCATTATATGCACTGCAGAGCTTACTCCAACAACTCGGCTGGAGAAGACTCCATGAGAGGCTTCATGGCTAGCATCTGTTGGGATGAAGATTCATGTTTGCTTTTCCCTACTGGAATCTCCCCAGGCCTCAACCTGCTATTCTAAGCTAGGCAACGGCCCTGGGTTTTATCCCCCTGTGATTACCAGAGGGATGCAGAGCACATCATTTGCTATTAGCTCCTTAATACTTTCAAAGTTATCCATATTCTTACTTTTAAATGATTTTGTTTGATTGGATATTTTTTACACAATGAATGTATCTACACATTCAATTAGTGCGGCATGATAAACTCTGGCACAGTTTGCACCAGAGTTAACATCTCCTGGGTGTAATGTCTACATGTGTGCCCAGGACTACAGTAGTTTGAGCCAGGGTGGAGCAGCCCCGGACTAGCAGCAGGCTTGGGGGGTCAGCCCTGGGCATCAGGCAGTGGAGGGGCTGGCTGAGGCAAAAAAGTGCCCAAAGAGCGGAGCTGTGTAGCTAGATGGCAGGCAGGGGCCTGGCCCCCTGCTGCCTAGGCCTAATTTACTCCTAGGTTAGCATTTGCATGTGCATCTAGGCACAGTTATTTTCTCCACTGTAACAAAGTACTGACCCAAGAGTATTATCATACGGCCGAGTTAATTAGGTCACTGCAGCCTAATACCATCGCACATATAGACTGTGACACTACCTACAGCAAATTACTCTACTGCACACTTAAGCGCATGTGTAGATGTATCCAATGATTCCCAACTCACTGACAAGGGTTAATATTTCACTTTATATTGGAACATTTTTTAAGAGGTGCCTTACACTTTCTCATCTTCCCCGTAAAACACTCAACCACCGCTTTGTACAACTAGGAAATCTTGTTATAGAAAAATATCAATTAGTATCACACAATGAGGATAATGGAAGACTTATTCTATCTGTACCAGAACAACCAGAGTTATTTTCCTCAAACAAATTGATAGCTCTTGTTTCCATTATATTTTAGCAATTCCAAAGTAGGTTAAATTTGAACTGTAAACAACTAATTATTGATTCTCTCTAAAATGCATTAAGTTACATAAAGTTCCTCTTCCCCTCCTCACATTGTATCAACATGATCTTAAACTAAAAGAACTCATCCCTCCAGTGTAACATACTATGGATGAAATCCTGCAAACATCTGTGCTCATGAGTAACATTGTCATGTAAGCAGATTCACAGAGGTTTTCCAGAACAGGTTGTATAAGAAACTATAGTGTAATATCACTGCAACTGAGTCAACTAACTGCTTGCTTTGATATATGGTAATGCTTTATCAAGTTTGCCAGATGCTTTATAGATTCCCATGTTAGTCTGATATTACTGCCCAACTAGGAAAAGCATTTAAGGAAACATCCATCAAGAGACTCAATTTTGTTCCATCACATGATTACTTTACTTACTCCAGTCTTTTCATCAAAGATTTTGATTCCTCCAAAGGAGACGGTTAGAAAGATTTTCTGTTTATGTTCTCCTTTTGAACGAGCGGCAGCAACAATTCCCTGTAGAGACAAAAATTGTTGTGTTGGTTTCATCATTTTTTTAGTTTTGCTTTCTGGTAAGTATACCACGAAAAGGACTTCAGTAGCGAAGCTGAACACAGACTCTTCATTGCTTTGTGAAGGCACAATTTGAAGCCTGATCCAGGGACACTGCCACTCTTTTTTACTCATTTTTCTCATGCTCCTCAGCCCATGTCAACTGAACTCTCTGGTCATTTCTCAATGGCAGTAGTGTGCATACCCAGTTCAGTACAAAGCCCTACCCAGTTCTCTGAGCTGGTTAATACTCCCTACAACTTGTTATTATTTGAGCTAATAATGGTAACCCATGATTTGAGCTAATAATGGTAACGGGGATGTAGAGGGATGGTTAGGAAGGCCAAGGCAGAG